ATTATAGAAAAAAAAAAGAATTGTATATATTTTTAATCTATTGGTATAGATTTTGCTACATATATCGGTATTTTCTCAAAGCACGAGAAATTTGTTTAAAGAGTGAAAAGAAGTAAATAAACAGAGATTCTTGTGTTGGCTTTCAACACTAGAATAGTTAACCAAATGAGGTAAGAAGCAATGAATACCTCAAAAGAGAATTAGTCCCCGCTATTCTCAATCTCTAACTCAAAAGGCTCCATGGCAACATGTTAAGCCACTGAACTCCGTTCCAGCACTACGTTGAGGAATCACTTTATTCCTCCAGAAGCTCAACATTCTTACCCCAAATTCTGCCAGATCTGTTTGCACTCCAGGTCTGGTTCTAAGCCGGCCGCTTCATCCCCACCAAAGTAAGTAACATAAAGTCTTTCAACTGGAATCCCAAACTCTTGGGTGAGAAGTTCCAGGGCCATCTTACATGCCAACTCCTACAAAAAAAGGTAAAAGAAAAGATAATGGAACATGACCAACCTAAAATCTAGGTGGAGAGAGCAGAAAAAAAACCAGATCCTGGTAAAGCTCAAGAATGGGCTCCACACTAAAAACAACTTCAGGATTAAATGATATAAACAGAAATCATTGAACTGCTATTAATTCCAGGAAATTTTAGACTTGATAAAATGTCTTTTACTTCTGAGTCTCCCGCAGATGAGTTTTGCCTATTTCCAAACATGCAAAATTAGAACCCATTTTCCTCCATGAAAAGGACCATTCTGGGAGCTCTGATGGCCTAGTGGTGAGAAGCTGCACTGCAATCCCAGAGGCACGTGGTTCAAATCCACCAGATGCTCTGCTGGAAAAGGAGGGGCAATCTCCTCCTGTACCAGTCAGACCCGATTTGACAGTACACACATGTACATAAAAATAATAAAGTTTTTAAAAAATTTAGACAAGAATACAAAACACCATTTTGCTGAAAAACCCAACAGTTCTGCTTTGGGGTTACCTTGAAGTAATCTCCAAATGACCAGGAGCCCAGCATCTCAAAGAAGGTGTGATGATAGACATCCTTGCCCACGTCATCCAGGTCGTTGTGCTTGCCCCCCGCCCGGATGCATTTCTGGGTATTCGCAGCACGACGCAGCTTTGCCATGGGGTGAGAAGGGTCAATTGTGTTCAGAAAGATGGGTTTGAACTGCAAAATGAAGGGGAACATTTCCATTTTGACAGAGCTACAGGTATGCCAGGAAAAGACCACATACACACTCTTCAGTTACTGATTTAATGAACTAGTATAAAATATATAAACTTCCAAGAAGGAAGAGACACTATGAGACTGAAGCAGGGGCAGCCCATGGTGGAGCAGCCTCCCCCGGCCCTGGCTTCCGAACATCACGCATACTGCCCGTGACATCATCTGTTGGATGTAACAGTCAAAGCTCAAGGGGGTGAAACCTACCTAGCTCCTTCTAAGTCTCTGATGGTTAGGGTTTACATTCTCATTCTGAAGGAACTTATTTTAGAATGCATGTGCTTGTAGTAAAGATGATGAAGATGAAGCAAAGAGCGAGACGGCCAGGGATTTAAATGCAGCAAAAGCCAGGTCTACAGGGCATCCGCGGCCGCACCCTGGGAATGAATCTATTGATGAATCACTGTGTCATTCTATCTGTTATCTTCACTTCATCCTTCTCACCAGAACTGCTGCCCAGTCTGTACCACCAGCCATTTGTGACCACGTGAAGGGAGCGCTGCTGCCGAGAGGGTGAGGAATTTGACTGCCAACCAAAGGCAGGAAGGTGGGAGAAAAATGGCAGTCTCGTCCCATGCGATTTACAGCCTCTGAAAACCCGCTGGAGGGTAAGATGCGAGTCGGTTTCAACTCGGCAAGGAGTGAGTGGAATGAAATAACAAACTCAGTTTCTCCATTGCACATTCCAAGTGCTTAGTGGTCACCACGTGGCTAGCAGTAAAGTCCTATTGTAAAGTCCAGTGCTAGACCATGAACTCCTTGAAAGCATAAATTATGTTACTTATTTTTGTATGTCTTTCAATTAACACATTGCCTAGAACAGAACAGGTGTCTTATAAATACTATTTGAATTGTAACTCGTAATAGTAATGACAAGATATTTTTGATTAAGAGGAAATAGAAATTAAAAACATGATCGCATGGTTGCAGGAGAGTTGTACTTCTGGTGCTTCAGTTTCCTTATCTTTTCAGTAGAGGCAGTAACAGCACGAGGAGTAAATGTATTACTAAGTGTAAAAGACATTCAGTGCCTGGCACATAGGAAGTGTTGGGTGCATGTTAACAGCAATTATTATTAATGGGCTCTTCATTGGATTCTTGTGATACTGGCTCTCAGGGGAAAAAGCAAAGCAACATTCAGGTATGCCAAAAAAGAACCTTCCCAGTGTTCCAGGAAAACTAGCTCCTTCAAAGAGCCCACCCAAAACTTTTGTCCCCAATTCTGATAAGATTCACACGTGAACATTTCTTAGAATTTTACAGTTGATGTCACAGAAGATGGAAAAGGTTCCCACTACTTCCATCTTTCCATGAACAACAACAACATAAAAAACCTGAGAGGAGAAAGGTCGTTCGCCCTCCCGTCACTGGTCCATGAGGCTGACTGAGAGGGGCCCCAAGCAGGGCCACCAGCAGCCCCAAGTGCACCGTCTAGTGTCACAGAGTCTGTAAACTACAAAAGTGGCTTCAGTCAGGGATCTAGAACGGCACTGGGGTCAGCAGCCTCAAGAAGGAGACAGAATGAAAGCAAAAAAAAAAAAAAAGCTCACTATGCACGGCTTAGAAGAGGAAGGAAAGCCCGGCTTTGAAAGGAAGCTGAAGGAGAGGGAAAAATGGGTAAGGGAAAAAAGGAGAGTCAAGACAGCTCTGTCATTCTTCAAGACTCAAGCTCTTTTTAAAAAATCAACAACTATATACACTAGACAACAGACTCAAGCATTTTTCTTGAGAGACATACAATTTTAATCTGGTAACATTAAAAAATAATACTAGTCTACAACAATGAATGAATGAAAATCTAACTTTTCTATAAACTTTTGTTAAAGTAACAATTAAAAAATAAAATAATAGTAGATCATGTTTAACTAAGGAGCCCTGGTGGCACAGTACATTACATGTTGCACTGTTAACTGACAGGTTGGTGGTTCAAGCCCACCAGCAGGTCCACTTGAGAGAGATGGGCTGTCTCCCCCACTAAAGATTCACAAAACCCAAAGGAGGGTTGCCATGACTTGGAACCACCTTGACGGCAGTGGGGATGAATGTGTACCTGACCCTGTGGTTTTTCACGCATTACTTCATTCACTTCTCACAGCAACTGAAGGGCAAATACTATTTTCATTCCTCATTTCACAAAGAAACAGAAGCTCAATGACAGAAACACAATCTCGAAGAGCACACAGGGACAGACTAGGGGTCTTGTCTGGCCCCAGAACCTGTGTTTTTATCACTGCTCTGCTGCCCCCACAGAAACAAACGGCCGAGAGGGGAAGAAGAAGCCCTTACCTGGTTCATGCCGGCGTTGGCAAAGAGCAAAGTGGGGTCATCCAACGGGATGGTGGCGGATGAATGAACGTAAGTGTGCTCGTTCCTCTTAAAGAAATCGATGAACCGCTGCCGGATTTCACTCGCTGTTAAGGTCGAGTCCATCTTGGAAGTTACCCCGCTGAGCTAACCACAGGGAGAAATCAAAGAAAACTGGAAATTGGAATTGACAAGGAAATATTACACAACACTCTTGGCTTCTCAAGCCAAGCCAAAGCAGGACATGAGTGGCAGCTGGATCCTAAAACCTGTGTGTCGTAATGTTCAAGGCTAAGGCCAGCATCAAAGCAAAGCCTGCTGCACTAGCACACAGCAGCTCCGCATGTCCTTCCTCCCCAAGCCAACCAAAATAGGTAAGAGTAGGTCAAAACACCGGGTCACATAAGAGGTGGCCTCTTCCTGTAATCATTCATTCTCTCAGTAAATACACTGTGGTAGGCTCTAAAGGAAGATAAAACCCATCATCATCTTTACAGTACTGGAGAAAAGCCCCCTGGGGTGGAGGGAGGCTTAGGGGACCCGGATTCCAATCCAAGCTGCCAAGTCCTTCACTCCATCCTTCACATTAGATGGTTTCTAAGGTCTCTTCCAGCTTTGTGTTAACCCATGTGCCTAGAAATGAACCAAGTTCCACTGTCCCCAAAGCCTGGGTCTTTGGGTTTGGCCTGACATCTTGGTGAGATGGCTATCAGCGGTAGTATGTTCAGGGATGGACCCATCTGTACCACGAATTGCCTTTCAGTAGCTGGCAGAGTATCTACTTCTACATACTGAAGTGCCCAGAATCACAACTGGTAGATCCTTCCCAGTATGCAAATAGATGACTGCAGATGCTGCAGTCACACGAGGAGGCAGAACTGAGAGAAAGAGAAAGGGAATCCAAGGAGAGGGACACTGGGAACGAAAACATTTCCATTTCAAAGCTCACAATGATCTGTATAAAACTGTTTATATAGAAGACTATAGTATACCTCCACTTCTAAGTCCACCAGGGCTCTATGAGGATCAAAAAGCCTCCTGTATTTTGAAGCTACTTGACAACTGGAAAGAATTAAAGAACTAAAGAAACGGAATAGAAAAAAATTACTCTGTCACTTAGCTCACTGTTTCCTCCATTCTTATGAAGAAGACACAATAATACAGTAATAATAATAAAGCAGGTGAAATGCTTAAGAGGCAAAGCCCTGACCAAAATGTCCAGATGGAGATTTGACGTCCATGTCACAAAGCCAAGGCAAGCAGTTTCAGAAACTACTTCTTATCACATTCTGCCTCATTCTTCTCACCTTAGTTTTCAAGTAAACTTAGTAATGGGGGCAAAAAGGAATTAACATGCTGTTAACTGAATTATCTTTGCTTCTCCTCTAAATATTGGAGGTAGATATATTCAATTCCAAATGACACAGCCTTTCCCCACTTTGGCTCATTCATTCAACGTACCAC